CATGAAAAGCACAGAAATATCTAGGAATAGCAAAAATACAGAAAAACAACGAACCGCACTGTACGACGACCACAATTTTTCTGCAATGACAAATTGACATTTTGACATGACGTGCATGTTGATGTTGCCATTACAATAATTTTGTGATTTTACTAGCTTTGTCAAATTTTATACAAGTTTTGTAATAAATGCTTTAATTTAACCTAAAAAGGTTAAAAGAAATAATTAATTATATAAAAAAAATGTATGTGAAGTTATAATTCTCTTTGTAGTGAAAATATAATATAAATTTTAAAGGACATTGTTAAAATTGGTCTAAGAACCAACACCAATTTGGCATTTATGATATTTCTTAGTATATTTTTTTAGGTAATTATCTGTATTTAGATTGTGACGGACACTTCCAGTTAAGTAAGCTAAATTAAAAAGTTAAAAAATAATCTGAGACAATAAATACTATTTTATGTGTATAATCTATGACAGCGCTGCAAACAAAACACTCTCTCTTCCTAATGCCGGCATTTCACTTGACTATTCGTGTTTGCTATTTGAAAACTTGACATCAGTCTGTCCTTTTCATTCCTTATTAAGCATGATAAGGACAAACTGTTGTCAAGTGAAGGGCCGGCATAAAACTCGTTACTCTGTGGTTGTGGTGCAGGCAGTTTGCATTCGTAGTAATCTGTGGCATTCGTGCATTCCAAAGAGTAGTATAATTATAATATATCGGAAAGTGCATTCTTGTTTCGGATTACTTGTTCTCGGATTACTTGTCGGTTATTTGTTTTTCCTTTAATATAACTATAATATCTATCTATCTATAATATCTATCTAATATGCCATCGATGTTACCAAAAAGCAGAGCCCTTATTACCAAGTGCTAGTGAACCTGTGCCACAACATCCTGAGAGGATCATACTGCCAAATTATTCAAGCGCACCTGATACACATTCACGCTGCATATTTACACAATATACATGTGATATACAAATAAAGACAATACACAATATGATACAATTATGTGAAAAAAAGTCAATAAATTAGAAGCAAAACTACAGTTTTTATTTTATTCATGATTCCTACCTAACCAAGTTTTTTCTAATAGTTATTCTTTAAAATCGCACCGAATAAAATGAATTAGTTGTAATATTAATTCACTTAATAATGATTTCATACTAAGTTTATAGGTTGACCTATGTTTCATTGAATATTAAACATAACCTCAAAAAAATTTTAGTTTTCCTAATAATTTAAGTTTTCAGAAGTGTTCGTCAATAATCTTTGTCTTTACAGTCATTTATTTACGATTTCGAACCAGAGAATAATATTTCATGATTGTTGGTTCTTAGGCTAACTATGTATGGACGCTGAACAATGTCCTTTGATTGTTTGGAATAAACTACTATAATAGTAATAACTTAAGGTAGGGTAAGCATTGTTAGCAAAATAACCCCTCTAAATTATATTGTCCAACAAAAAACAAGTTGATCGAACATCGCTTATGTCCTTTACGGATATTCCGTATTATAATAGTAGCGACCTCTGCTTTCCTAAGACGGCAACTTTTCAAATTTGTATCTCGATTTTTTTGTTCCAAGATTGAAGGCCCTAGTCGTGACAAGTCAGAGCGGTATCGGTTTCAAACATTATGAGCGTGCGCTAAATTAAGCGGGAGTATGGAGCGGACGTCGATACATTTGTGTGTCGCAATCGCTATGTCACAGACTATTTAGATACTACGTACGCTATGTGTTGTGAATTGTGCTGACCAAGAAGCTTATATACAACACTGGAGATTGCATGTAGAACTTCTGTATGAAGATGAGTTCATTAACCCCATGATATGTTTTTTATCTCTCTCACACACTATCTGAAATTACCATGTTAAATACAAGAAATTCCAATCAGAAAGTGAAAATAAACAGAACTATGCCAGATATCAATCAGTTTTACAATCTCCAGAAGTCCTACTCTTGTATTACTATTATAAGATGAGTGTGACAAATTCTAACCAACTACTTTGAAATCAATGGTGTCGATTCTGGCATGATTCTCTAAACCTAAACTTAAATTTGACAACAGTGTGTCCTTGTCATTCTCTATACAGAATGAAAAGGAGAAACTGATGTTAAATTTAGTTTTAAGTTTAGAGAGTCATGCCAGAATCGACACCAATATTTAAAACTAAATAATAAATACGCCCTTTATTTCCCTGTTTGCTGGTTGCTACCATTTTGGTATAATAGCAACACTAATAAAAAATCAACTGAAGAATAGCTCCGATCTGTCAAAAAAAATCTACCGCTTCGAATGTTTAGATTATTATTAAAAAGTGTTAAATTGTTCAATTTGCTATTTATAATATGTATTGTGTTGTGTGAGATTGCAGAAGTGTTTGGGAACCAAATTCCAGCACTAAATTTCACAGGTAAGTCTATTACATTACGCCAATACCGAAATAAACATATTCCTATATTTTTATGTTGTAATCATAATAAAACGTTAGTATTTATAAATCATAGTGTCCTGAGGCTATAAATTAACGTTATTCTTGTTTTATTCACTACATTTGGTACCATATTCAGCAGTTTATTAAATTAAAATAATATAAATTTTGGTTTTGTAGGGTAACCATTATCACTACACTTGAGATATTTTAAGAAAGTTAATAAAATACATAAGTATTATTGTAAATAGTAATTATAAAGTTCAAAATATGAAAATAAGTTTATAATAAATACTGTAGTAGATCATGTTGATTAGATGTAGAAAACCTATTTAATAACAGCTATCTAGCAGCGGTCTTATACCTTTGTTTATGTTTCAGCTTCCCGAAAGATGTCATTAAAAGAAATTCTTGGTTGTCCATTATACTGTCACAAACGCTCTCGAAACGGAACCGCGAATGTGCTAGAGATCGAATTAGCCAGAGCACCGCGGGTCGCAATAGAAGTCGAGTAAGGCGGCTCATTCTAAAATGAGCCTTATGCAGTGCGACGTAAAGGAGAAAGTGCAACGATATCTGCACTTTTTTACAAGTTATGCGTGTTACTTGCGTAGGTATAAGTAGGTATTTCGTACTCGCGGGTGCTAGGTAATTCTCAATTTAACAGGTACTTTCTAGAACTTCGACTTTCGACGACCTCCGTGGTCGAGTGGTTTGTACGCCGGGTTTCATGGTGTCGCCGACTCGAGAGGTCCCGGGTTCAAATCCCGGTGGGGACAGATGTTTGTGTAATGAATACGAGCATTTGTACTCCAATCATGGATGTTTAATATGTATTTCTGTAAAAAAAAATATACATAAATATGTACAGTTTATGTATTCTATCCGTTACCCTAGTATCCCATAACACAAGCCTTATAGTACTTACTTTGGGGCTAGGCTAATTTGTGTGAGTGTTGGAAATATTTATTTATTTATTTACTTTCTAGAATGCATCGATCGGCGTATATAAGGGCGATTGGCGCCGCGCAGAGACAGTTTAGTTTCAACAGCGATTTCGGAGCGAATCCAAAGGCGATCAAAGTGCAACAAAAGTGTTCAAGTAAGATTGTTTAGAGACTTGTATAGTGAAATACAGTGTTTAGTGAGTGTTTTGTAATTAACATTGTGTGTTAATTGTGTGAACTGTGTGGTGAATAAAGAACTGTCAATCGTGAACTGGCATATAATTTCGAACCCCATCCCGACACGTAACAATACCATTAAAAGGTCAATTTTATTTATCAGCCAAAATATGTAGCTTAGAGATTCTAGTCCGTTCTTAGTAAAAGGCATTTCTGGCGATTTTAAAAAGGGTTTGCATATTCTTTCTCGTTAATTTTTTTATAAACGTTTTTGACATGGCATAATATAAGACGCATCTAATATGAATAAAATGATTTTTGTACTTGTGAGTTTTATTACTATTAAATAATGTGTTCCCAAGTTCCTATCAACTCCAACGCTTTGATTTATAAATTGTTTAAAGACGATACCAGTAAGTATGTATCCTAAACGTATATTCCAACATGGTCACCCTTAGAAAGAGATAACAAACATATGTGACGTCATTCAAGGCCATATTTTTTCACTTCAAGGTATTGTTTGCACTGCAATCTCCAGTGTTGTATATAAGCTTCTTGGTGCTGACTTTTCATGTGACGCATCAGAAGAGATTCCGATCGCATCAGAAAGTGGGGGTGAGAGGGACACAACTTATCTATGGAAATTTGAAAAGTCCTAACAAAAATGTATATATTTGGTTCTGTTTAAGATAAATAAAAAGTTAATAAAGATTAAAGAAAAAGACTTGTTTTATATTAACTAATATGTAGGTTTTCAGTTAAACGAGATTAAATAAAAGATTTTTACCTAATATTTTCTTTGAATTAAAAAGTAATTCAAAAGTCAGGAAACGCAAAGGTAACACCGCCCCAAAAGTAATGGAAAATCACACAATAACGTTCTGGCAAACCTGCGTTAGTAGGCATCAGTTCCGTCCGCGACATAAAAATTTGAACGCCAGAGCCGGCCACGACAAAAAACGTCAGACAAATATAAATCCGGCTTTAAAAAACATACGAATATGCAGCGCAGCGACACCTAGGGTAATTTTGTAGTATGTATTTCTAAATTGGTTCGTTCTTAAAACTATGATTTTTGAAATGTTTTACAATTAAGTCTTACCTTATTGATCAGTAAGTATCGTCATTATCAGTAGATTACAACATCATTAATAATTAAAAGTTCATGCAATCGAAAACAAAGTTTATTTAATTTTATTACCTTTCATTAAATTTTGGTAACAAACCATGGCAATCTTGGCTCCTCATTGTCAATTTACATATCACGTTTTTTTATCGCGTCTAACTGTTAAACTCCATAGTAATTTGACAATTGAGCGTGATAAAAACGTGTTTTAAATCATATCGTGGTGCTCATCCTAGGGGGGCTGTCCATTCCATGAAAACCTTCACCGGATAAACTTACTATTTAGAAATTTTAGATATAAATTATCAATTTCGCACATTGGGTACAAGTCTTCGGTAGTATAGTGGTCAGTATCCCCGCCTGTCACGCGGGAGACCGGGGTTCGATTCCCCGCCGGAGAGCCTTTTTTACGTATTCATCTCTTATATATATTATTATTTTTTATTCTAATTTATCTCTTTTTTTCAAAAAATATAAGTAAATTTTCTTTATTTACCTACTAGAAAATATTTATATACCTACCTATATGTGTATGTAAACTATAATATATTTGAATACTTTTGTGTATAAACTTTAATTTATTAGAGTGATTAATTCAGATGTTTTTAAGAAATTCTTTTATTCAGCATAATATTTTTTCTACCCCTATCTGATCTCAATTTTGGCGTTCAATACCAATAACGCCGTCTCTGTTTTATCTTCAAAAGTCGATCTTCCATCTCGTTCAAAGTTGGCGCACGGCAGTCTCGTTGGCCCTCTTGGCGGGCTTAGTCGCACTTTGCAAAAAAGGCGGGAAATATAGTCAGTGCATTGACTTTTTTTTGTTAATTAATAAAATTGGTGAGCCAGCATAAGAAAAAGACAATAAAATGTAAGTTATGTTTTAGATTACTTTTTAAAAATATTTCCAACATTAAAATAAGTAGAATACATGGAGTCACCTTTGACATTCAGGCGAAGCTTTTCAGCGTCCCTATTCGAGGAAATGTCAGAAACCACATAAATTAAAAGAATATTTAACTTTTAATATTATCTTTTATGTTTAAATTTAGTATTTTTGATGTTTTTTTCATAGCTTTGTCCAACAATACTCGTAACTTAGTCATGCATTATAAATAATTTTAAATGTGTCTTTAACTTATGACTTTAAAAGCAATCGAAAATCTAAAGTATATAATTATAGTAGAGAGTATTTATTCATTTAACTGAAAGTTTACGTAAGAAATAAAACTTATGTTTTGACGCTCTTTTGCCCGTTGGGATAGTGGCCTAGATTGGACTATCGTATAATTTTTTTTCGTATAGTGTTTATACAGTTGAGCGGCTCTATGCATAAAATAAAGTATACTTTATCTATATAGAATTATAAATTATATTCAAGACACATTTATTTTGTTTTTGATATTTCAACTAAGTACTTATACTTTTTCATTTCTATTCCGATTGGGATATCGGATAGCATATTGACGCCATTATTCTTGGTTCGCGTGTAAGGGCATCCAATAAGCGGTAACATGTTAGACGACACATTTTGGATGATGTGAAAATTAACGAAACTCAAACAGTTAATAACGTAAATTAAATACATAAATAGATTACACGCTCAGAATTTATGGTTTCTTCTATTAGTCCAATTTATAATAAGTACAGTACATACATAAAATATATAAATATATACGTAATGTTTACAATATACATAATTATTATAATGTCCAGATAACATGATGACCTAAATGTTACATATGCAGGAGCGCTTGTTTACACACTGATAATGTGATTTATTCTTAGCTATTAAAATGAGAGTCAAATCACATGGTAAATTTAAAACTGATAAATTCTCTAAAACTCATGTCTTTGGTCTGCAACAATTTTAGTCATAAAATCCATTTTGTAATATTTTGGCGAGAGAATGGCCGAACTCTACAAAAATTACCTACGCCAACACAACATACAATATTTCCCTGTCCCACTAGCAATAAATGTTTTTTTATGCAAAATTAAGTTTATCTAAATTGTAACAATATTTTCGCATTTTCATTGGACAAGTAACAAAATAAGTACCTACTTACTTACATTTTTTATTACAAGTAGGGCCTCTATTATATATAAATTATCATGTTACTGAAAAAACTTATAAAACTAGAAAAAATATATTAACGGACCTACTAAGGATGGTAATATAAGCATTTTCCAATCCTGTATGATGAAAATTCGTTTGACTGTTGCGGAACTTGCGTCATACCGCGAGTTGGCAAAGCGTGTAGCGGTATTCAACCACGTGGACGCATCGATCGACCCCTGCCCCTCGCCAGATAGACTCATTAGACCCCTAACAAACGGCTGGTTGGGCTGACTGCGACTACCCTATTGCTACGAAATCTAAACCTTTGACCCCTCAATTTTCTAAGAATTCATGAATTTGAAATGAACACTTTAATAAAGAGAGAATTTTCGAGGAGTTTTTCATTAGAGAGTTCAAATTTAATAATATAAGTTAATCTATAGGTTTATAATAATTATGATAGTGACATTTGTTTTATTTTTTCCGGTTCTTAAAACTCTTCTGATGTTCTTCTGCAAGTGGTGAATGGGAAATTTATTATGCACTAGCAAACCCGGCGAACTCCGTTTCGCCACCAGATGGCTTCGTTTTATGTAACATTTCGTTTGGTGATTAAAAGAAGTTTTTTTTTAATTTTTCCTGAATTTTCTTTGCTATAAACCTCACGGAGCCCGAGACCTTTCCAACGAATGCAAAACCGTGGAAATCGGTTCGTGCGTTCTGGAGTTATAGCGTCAGGAAGGAAAACCCGACTTATTTTTATATAGTAGATATTTCTCAGTTGCCATCTTTAGAGAGAATGCCGTAAAAAACAATGTTCCTTTATCCACCAAAGAGATTTTCTCTGAGGGGAGAAACTGGCTATAGTCTTAATACATAGTGCTTAATACATAGTATTTTATGCTATACCTACCTACGACTAGAATAATAAACAAATGTAAAACCTGAAAAGTTAGATAAAACAATCCACGCGTTTTTTACTTTTTTTTTATTAAATTTCTCAGAAAAAGTGGCCAATTTCATTTTACACACTGTGTTATAAAGTTTTTTAGCTTTTATATATAGGGAAGGGCAGTTTGGGCAGATTGCTTACAAAAAACCTTTTCTTCTGCTCAGCGCGTTAGCAATGGATTTCCATACCATTCCCGCTAGCATATCAATCAGTACCTATTTACAACAACACCTACAACTGAACAATATATGCTTCCGGACACATCTATCAGCCCACCGAACATTTTAAGTTTTGATGGTCCCTAGCTAAAAATAAATTTAACATTGAGCAAAAACTTATTACCTACGCAGGTTTGAAGCTGATTTATAAACCATCTTTTCGTGTTTTTAAAACTATAAACATACATTTTTCCCACAGACCGTTCAAACTTATAATATAACACTTAGTGGGGCGATACATGTGTCCGAAAGTATAGCTTAAAATAAAACTGGACGGAGTGCTTTATTTATTTTTTAATGAATCAGAATGTACATCATTTTATGTAATTTGCGATTGTAAATAGAAGAGTTTTTAAGAGTTCCCTTCAATGTTCCAGTGTCCTATCGTTAGTTCCCTATATGGTGAATATGACACCACCTTTTAAAATAACCTTCCAAATAAATACAAAAAAAAATTAAAATCGGTGCCCAATTCACAAAAATACAGTAATATAAAAAATACTCACACCAACATATTAATCTAGTGAAACTCCTCCTTTTATGTTTGAAGGACATAAACTTTATTTTATTTCGATGGGAACCGTATCTCTGTGCTATTATTGTTTACTTTAGATAGATAGATAATAGTAACAGTACCTATCGACTCATAAATCACAAAAAGTCGAAAATAATACAGAGAACAGTTAAAGCTCGAAGTACTAAGCAAACAAGTTTCGCTACATTTCCCTCCGCTAACGAGCGACCAGCAAACAAAGCTATCCACACCCCTTTGACGCTACTCGTAAGTTACCAATTACCAGTATTGTTTAATATCTATTAAAAAAATAATAATAATAATGTGACCCGCTTCCTTTTCATATTTAGGACGCCATGAAAAACAAAATGTAATTGAATTGTTTACTAAATACAGTTGTGTCCTACAGTTGTGTTTATAGTTTGTTATAATAATATACACTGGTACTTATATATTTATTCTTTCTATTTGCAACCTAGTATCATATATATGTGGTTATGGGTAGTCATGATCTCTTTAAAATCTCATCGGCGGTGTCGTGTGAGGCGAGGCGTTACGTTTCCTAAAAATGGATGAGCGAGGCGATGGCTAGTTCATGCATCATGCTCGTGAACGGGTGCTGCCAGCGGGATGCGTCTGCTCTTGCTACATCGGGTACTATTAATCGTTGTATTTAACTTTAATCGTACATTTTTATATGCCTAAACGCAAGTTACGGCATTCCTAAACTTTGTTAAATCAGTTTATTCATTTTTTATTGTATAGTCATAATTTTTATATCATTTTCATTTGTAATGGAAAGTGACTTCATGAGTTATCTCATATTGAAGTCATTTTTTAATTTGACTATTTTATAATAACCAATTAAATATATTCCTCTCTTGTCATGACCTTTTTAATCCTCTCCAATCTGGTTTCCGTCCTGGGCACAGCACCACGACTACCCTCTTGAGAATCATAGATGATATACGCCATGGGATGGATCAAGGTCACCTAACGGATTGACATTATTGGACTTCAGCAATGCCTTCAAAACTGTAAATTTTATGGACATGCTTATGGTCGTCGGCGTCGTTGCTGCGCTCACTTAACGTATCTCCATCGGTATTGAGTGGTTGCGCAGTAATTTGCAGGGACACAGGCAGAGGGTTCACCTCGATGAGATTTTTTCCTCGTGGAGCGACACTTCTGCTGGTGTTCTCCCAGAGGCGGATTTACCAGTAGGCTCAGTAGGCTGGAGCCTAGGGCGGCAGATTTTAGGGGGCGGCAAATTTGGCCCAAAATATACCAGAAAAACGAGTGACAAAAATTTTAATATTTTAGTAATCCGTATACAGGCTGTTACAAAAATACAAATAAAGCTTGATAGGCGTTGAAGTACATCATATAAGGAGTCTTCTCTAATTTTCTTAAAATATTTGCATGAAGTTTTAACTTTTTTATAAATTCAGTTATTTTTAATGATTAATAAAAATATCGATAATTTTAAGACACGTCACTAGTTCGAGGATCATTAAAAATAACTGTTTTATATAAAGTTAAAAATTCATGTAAATATTTTTAAAAAAATAGAGAAGACTTCCTCCTTATATGATTAACTTCGACGCCCTTCAAGCTTTATTTGTATTTTTGTAACACCCTGTATAAAAGATTACTAAACCCACTGTAAAATATAGGTACTTATGCGATCATGAATTTTTAAAATATAGAATAGAATAATTATTTATTTGCGTTTGAACAGGGTAATCAAGGTCATAAATAGTTACACATAACTTTACTGTAGGTTTCACCTATTCAGCTATAGAACGTAGCATGCAAATTTACATCAGTTTTTTATCAAATTAATTAATACTATGTCACATGATTGAATAAAAATTACTTAACAGGTCACAAAATAAATAGTCAAAAATATAAAAATTCAATTAAAATCAGGTCATATTAAAATGTGAATCAAAAATATAATTAAATCAGTATATGTCACTCAAAATCTCATCCACCAAAATTACTATTATTTATATATTAGCATTATTCAAGATTATCATAATTCAAGAATTCCTGGACCGAGTAGAATTTACGTTGAATGAGCCATCTATGTAGTGTTATTTTAAATCTACTGAAAGGCAAA